ATGTAGGAGCAGACTCATTCATGTTCAGGGCCCAATTTTATAACTTAGCAAGGAATGGAACTAATTCTTGTTTGAATTCTTTATAAAATTCATTGGTGAAACCATCACTTCCTGGACATTTTTCATTTTTAGTTTTCTGTATTGTTTCTAATAGTTCCTCCTCTGTTATTGGCTTTGTCAATTGTGCATTTTGGTCTTCTGTAACTTTAGGCAGATTTATGTTTTTCAAGTAATTTCCAATCTTTTCAATATTGGCGTCTAAATTTTCAGGAGTGTAGAGTTTTTTGTAGTATTTCACAAATCCGTTTGCTATATCTGTCCTATTGAATAAGAGTTTTGAGTTGGTATCCTTGATTTTAGATACTTTTGCTTTTGACCTTTGCTTTTTAAGCCGGTATGCCAAAATTTTTTGTGCCTTTGGTCCACTGTCGTAATATTTCAGTTTGGTAAATACAAGGGCTTTTTCTATTCTTTCAAGTTCAATTTGTTCTATCCTTTTCATAACTTATCTTATTTCATTGAGCATTAATTCATTTGATTCCTTTTTATGTTCATTTTGGAGCCTTTCTAAAGAGGCTAATAATTGTCTTTTTCTTTTTTCTTTAACTTGAGAGACGCTAGCATTATGAGCTCTCCTCAAATAACAGCTTTTGCTCCCTCCCACACCATAATGGGGGAGACCTCTCCATTATCATTAATTCTAAAATATTCTTTTATTAGTTGTCTTTCTTTATTCTTGATATAGTCGTCGTGTAAGAGTGAGTTATTTAATCTCCAAATGTTTACTTTTTTTTCTATTTGTAAGTTTAATTTCATTGATATCATTGCATGGTCTGACAGATCTATTGCACCAATATTACATTCTAATACTTTATCTAGATCTGTGTCAAACATGAAAAAATAATCCAATCTAGAATATTTATTATGGGCTGCAGAGTAAAAAGTGTAGTCCCTTCTATTAGGGTTTAGCTTTCTCCATAAATCTATTAGCCCAAGTTCAGTTTCTGCCCTTTTCAAAATTTCTGAGGCCTTCTCAGCTTTATGTTTTAGGTTATATTGGCAGTCCAGTTTTGGATTCATAATCAGGTTTAAATCTCCCCCCATAACCACCGTCCCTGTTGCCTCTGAAACAATCAAATCTATTATCTTGGATATAAAAGCAGGTCCTTGTTCGGGTGGCTTATAAACATTCAAGAGCGTTATTTCAGCATTATCAATCCTTCCTTTAACTAGAACATATCTTCCATCCTTATCCATTTTAGTTTTTTCAAGGTGGAAAGAGATGTTATTCTTAATTAGTATTGCCACTCCTCTCCTTGCAGAGTGGAAGGAAGAGGAATGTACTTGTGCATTAACTATTTTTTCCAATTTTTTATGTTCCTCTTTTGAAAGATGTGTTTCTTGAAGAAACATTATGTCTCCTCCCACTGTCTTCATCTTGTGTAAAACTCTTTTCCTCTTAATTGGGTTGTTCAGGCCATTTACGTTCAGTGAAGTGATCTTAAGTTCCCCAGACATATTTTTCATGGTCATTTCTGTTTTTAGATTTTAATGTACTTCTTTACATTTGTCTTCATCACCATGTTGCCAGACCCACTCCAAAATTGAATAAAAACTACAAACACCATGTAAAAAAGCATGAACAGAAAATAAAGTGACTTCCATTGGTGCCATCCCGTTACACAGATGGCAGTGTGTGGATTTCCATGTGACTTTACTCACATGAATCCGAAGGCCCATAACCAAATGAGACCCTGAAATTAATCTAAATGAAAATGTGTCTTTTGGGACACAAAATGAAGACACTGACAGCAGAAAGCTTTAATACTATCCTCCTCCACCTCGGTGTTGTTAATTTTACTCAAATTGCTCATAACCCTAATCCCTTAAAATTCACAAGTCTTGATGTTAAACCACTGAGTAACCAGAGTCTTCCAAAAGCAAGATCCCAACATAAACAAGTTTACAGACTAAGAGTAGACTTATCTGCTCCTATTGCTTAAGTTGATGAATCACGGTTTGGTGAGGGCAGTAGGTAAAAATTCATTATGAACATACATACGCAAATGTGTATACGTACACCCACATGCATGCATACAGACATGCACCCATATACATACATACCTGCATTCTCATTCATGTGCCTGCATCCACTCCCAGACATATGCATACACACGCTTACACTTATATCCAAACATACACATGCTTGCACACATATACATTCAATATAGCATGAACATACTTGCCCACATATTAATTCCTGTGCAGTCACTCCCATACCACTACCTATGAAATCACCCGTCTACACTTACATGTTTATCGGTACACATATACACACAAAATAATATACATTTTGAATTAATATGTTATTTGAGACTTAATGTTGTCATATCTTTGGCTGAGATAGTTCCAATAAGAGTCCTAGATTTTGGTGGTCAGTATAGATGACTTAAGTACAGTTTTAATCCTATTTCTGAAAAAGTATGGCATTGTTTATAGTGTTATGCCCCGGCCTAGGGGAACCTGGGGTATAGCATGGATATTGCTCCACACTAGTCCCTCCACCTCGAAGAAGGCCAGCCACAACAAGAAGTCAGGTAACAAAAGATGAGCAGTTTCTTTATTTTTGTCAATCAAGGAGGGCAAACAGGCCAAAACAACAAACAGAACTTATTCTATAAGAACTCTGACTATTAAAAGAAAAAGCAAATAAAAAACAACAATCTTACCTATCTAATAACGAAAAAACAGGAGAAAAAGGTACCGAATAAAAGGCCCTCTCCCTCCTACTCTGCTCTCCAACTAAGAGTTCACGAAGAGTCCCTATAGGGATCTGTTCTCAAACAATTCTGTAAGCACACGACTGCCGCGTCTCTCGAGGTGCAGTGGCACGGGTCTGCTGGCTTCTTCGAGGTGGGTGAGGCTGGAGGTGAGGAAGCAGGACCACAGCTGGCGGGCTGGTCAAATACCGGGTTGGCCCGCCCTCCGACCAATGGTGTGGCTGGGAATCGGCGCAGCAGTATCCAATCCGGGGTCACCACCTGCTCCCAATTCCCTCGTTCCACCACACTCATGCACACACACTCACACTGGGGACAGACAAGCAGCAAAAAACACAAATGACCCGCACAGGGTCATAACAATAGTTTCTTTTATGCTATTCTTAAACAAAGAAATAAAATAGTGTGACTTACCCTGTTACACTGGCCCCCAGTCTCCCCTACGGTGTTCCATCTTATTCTGGCTTTTGCACTAGTAAATGTTATCTTTCCAATAACAGCTAAATAAATTTTAAAAAATATTTATTTTATTCCTCGCTTTGGAGCAGATACTGGCTGAAATTAATTTCCTCTGATATTCGTGCGGATAAGGTAATTTCATACAGGACAGAGCCTTTTTTTAACCTAAAATTCTACCCTAGCTCCCGGACTTAAGATAGAAGTACAAAATAAGATTAAGTAGTAAACAACACATCACTATCTTACACTTGTGAGGTACAAGCAAGCACACAAACAAAAAGAGCTGCTAAGTAAAAGTCAGCAGAAAGATCTTTTCTCCGTAATCGGTTTTAAGTAAAGCGTAGGGACAAAACAGGATGAGGAGATGGATACAAGCAATAGAGCAAACAAAAGGAAGAAATAATACTGTTAACTGTTACTTCACTCACAATAAAGCTGGGTTTTATTCTAAGTGTCCTCTTTTATTTGTCTTCGTGCCACTCATCTTTATCCATGTCCATCCAAACAATGTTTTTTTTTTTTTTTTCAGCACAAGGTCCTTATTTTTTCCACTTATTTATTATTGTATCAATGTTTGTTGTTAATACTATTATGCCCACCCGTCTTTTACAATGTCTTACTAATGTCCTACCTTCTTTTGGCACAGTCTGTTAAGTTAGTTATTCTGGGGTCGAAAGTCCTCATGCGTAATCCTCTCTGCCTCACGTCTGCGCGCTTGTTCCCCTTGGATACTTGCGTCTTCCACAGACCTCCCTCCAGCATTTTTTCTTCCAAATCCGCAAAGTAGGATTTTGAAATCTTTATATCTAAGGCCTTAGCAGCTGCATCGGCATCATCATATATATCTTAACTCCTTCTTTTCCAAACACCTTTAGCTTCGCTGGATAAAGGATGTGGGATTTCACCTGGTGCTCCTGCAGCTGTTTCTGGATAGGACGCAGCTGATTTCTTTCTTGCTGAACTTTTGTAGTGTAGTCTTGGTCAAAGAAGATTCTGTCACCGATTCTCTTCTTTTCCATGCCGACATGAGAACGTGTTGTCTCGTTTCCCAGTCAAGAAAGCAGGCGATGATTGAGTGGGGCCTGGGCTCCCTGTCCTGTGCGCGCTTGCTTCCAGCTGCGCGGTGCGCAGGGATGATCTTTTGGTCAGCCTGGACCTCCAATTTGTCCTTTATCAGACGCTCCAAAAAACGAACGATATCTTCGCCCTCTGCTCCTTCCTTCACATTAAAGATCCGGATATTATTTTGTCTTGATTTGCTCTCTAAATAATCCATTTTTCTCATTTTTTCTTTTAATTTCAGCATGAGAAACGAATTAATCTCACCTGAGACATTGTTTTTCTCTTCGCACTAGGGCAAGTCTGTTTTCCACTTCAGTGATTCTCTCTTTAGCAGCACTTAAATCACTTTTAATGTCTTTCATATCTTGATGTAACTCCGAAAAGGCTTGCCTTGTCTGTGCCCGGAAATCTTTTAAATCCTTGCTGATGTTGTCCAGTTTTCCAGAGATGTCATCCAAGAAACTTTTGAGTAGCAGCTCCATTTCGTTTTCTTTGTCTGTGATTTGTTTGTTTGCTCTGCCTCGTGGCGTCTTTTCTGTTTTCTTCTGAAGTTTTGTAACTGCTCCTGAATGCAGGTTCATTCCTTTAGAAAGAAGTTTAGATTTTTTTTGTTTTTGTTTTTCTTCAGTCTTTTAACATTTGGAATAGAGTTTAAAAACTTGTGATTTTAACCGAGGTGGTGAGGAGCTCCGTGCTTACGCTGCCATCACCTGCGGGGTTCCGGCGGAAGAAAATCCTTTCCTTTGCTCTTTGCTTGCATCTCTCAACCTGAGTCTGCTGGTTCAGTGGAACAATGTCTTTGATCTTCGGTGGTTTCAGAAGGTCGAGGCTGGTACGAAGCTGTCTCTTAATGAGAAGCGCTGCAGGAGTAGCCTTTGTGGTTGAGTGTGTAGTGTTTCTATATGTGAGCAAGAAACTGTTCAGGCGCTGGTGGAGGGAGCCTTGTCCCTGTGAAACCTTCAAGGCATGTTTCATGCTCTGAACAAACCATTCTGCTGCTCCATTAGTAGATGGATGGTATGGGGCAAAGCGGATGTGTTGCACCCCGTTAATCTCGAGAAAGTTTTGGAACTCTTGCGAGGTGAACTGAGTTCCATTGTCACTCACAAGTTGCTCAGGAAAACCAAATTGGCTGAACATTTCCCCAAGCTTTTCAATGGTTTTCTCTGCTGTTGTAGATCTCATAATGGACACCTCCGGCCATTTACTATGAGCGTCTATTGCTATTAGAAACATCCTCTCTTCCAAAGGACCTGCAAAATCAACATGGATGCGTTACCATGGTTCCTCTGGCCAATCCCATGGATGGAGCGGTGCTGGTTGTGGCATGCAGCGGATATTTTAACATGATGAACATGTTCTTACAGTCTCTTCTATCTCACTATCAAGTCCAGGCCACCAGAAATAGCTCCTGGCCAGTTCTTTCATACGGACCATGCCACTGTGACCTGTGTGTAGCTGATGTAGAAGCTTTTTACGCAACACGGGTGGAATAATCACCCTGTGTCCCCATAGGAGACAGCCTGCCTGCACAGAGAGCTCACTCATCTTTGTGATGTAAGGTTTAAGTTTAGGAAAATCACCACACCCTCCTTTCATCACAACATTCAACAGTTTTGAGAGCACCGGGTCATTTCTGGTGTGGCATTTCACTTGAGCAGAAGTGATGGGAGCATCCTCCACTTGTCTGAAGTAGAAGATGCTGACCTGCCGTGACTCACCATGGTTTGCTGGCAGGGGAAGCCTGGAGAGGCCGTCTGCATTTGCATGTAGCTCAGACTTCCGGTACTTGATGTCATAGGTATGACCTGAGAGCAGTAATGCCCACCTCTGCATCCGACTAGCTACCAAAGGTGGAATGCCTGTATGGGGCCCAAATATTGTAGTGAGGGGACGGTGGTCCGTCAGAAGAATAAACTTCCTCCCGAAAAGATTTTGGTGGAACTTGCGGACACCAAACACAATTCCTAGTGCTTCCCTCTCAATTTGTGCATATTTGCTTTCTGTGGCGCTGAGTGTGCGCGAAGCAAATGCAATGGGGCGTTCCTCACCGCTAGGCATGATGTGGGAAACAACTGCCCCCACCCCATAAGGAGAAGCATCACAGGCAAGTTGTATGGGCAGTGTGGGGTCAAAATGTGTCAGGACATGTGCATCCTTACACTGATCTGTCCATGTCCAGACCTTGTCTTGACACAGCAGCTGGTGAAGTGGTTTCAGCAGAGAAGACAGGTTTGGAATGAACCGTCCGTAATAGTTCAGGAGCCCAAGATATGAGCGTAGTTGGCTCAGATTCTGAGGGGCTGGTGCATCCACGCTCGCCTTCACCTTGGATGGAGCTTTGTGCAAGCCCTCAGAGTCAATCACATGCCCTAAATATTCAACTGAAGGATGGAAAAATGCACACTTGAATCTGCGAACTCTAAGTCCATAGTCTTGTAAGCGCTGAAATGTGGCATCCAGGTTCTTTAGATGCTCCTCATCCATTTTTCCAGTGATTAGGATGTCATCCAAATAGCACGGGACTCCAGATAATCCACTCAGTATCTGGTCCATTGCACGCTGAAAAACAGCTGGGGCTGAGGTTATCCCAAACGGTAGCCTGCAGTACCTGTAGAGGCCTTTGTGTGTGTTTATGGTAAGTAGTTCTCTTGATTTCTCATCAACATGCATCTGGAGGTAGGCTTGGTTGAGATCAATTTTGCTGAATTTCTTACCTCCTGCCAGGCATGTGAAGAGATCATCGATGTGAGGGAGCAGATACTGTTCCGCTTCCAGCACTGGGTTTATGGTGACTTTAAAATCACCGCAGACCCTCACTGTCGAGTCAAGATGGCGGCGCGCATAGGTGCAGCGGCTCACGGCTCTCCTTTTCAGTGCTTTTTTTCGTTGTTATGGTATTTCTTTCTTGTTTGTTTGTGCACTATCGGTTCTACGAACATCCACTACACCCGCCAGAACCTTTTGGAAATCGGGGACCAGCATCAGACATCTGTTACAAGTGTCTTTCATCACACGCACAACATCCCAGGCGACATAGCGAGACCACCGAGCTCTCCGTGGATTGTCTTCGGGTCTTGGAGGCGGCGCAGACGGAGGAGGGAGAGGAAGCAGAAGCAGGGCCGCAGGTCCGGTGGTATGCTAAGGCTAAGGAAACGACCACACAAGCCACCTCTGCCGAGCCTGTATCTCTTCAATGCCAGATCCTTGGTGCATAAAATGGACGACTTGGAACTACAACTTGCTGGAAATCGCTATGTTCGGGACTGCTGTGTTTTGATTATCACCGAAACCTGGCTACACCCGGACATACCCGACGCTAGCATGCAGCTAGCGGGCCACACTTTGCTGCGCTGGGACAGGACTAAGGATTCCGGTAAGAACAGGGGAGGGGGGCTCTGTATTTTATGTGCATAACAACTGGTGCAACAACAGGACTGTGATAGACACACACTGTTCCCCCGACCTCGAGTACATGTCTGTGAGATGTCGGCCTTTTTTTCTACCAAGAGAGCTAACAGTAGTGATCATCACGGCCGTGTATATTCCACCCCATGCCAATGTAAACACGGTGCTCTCCCTCCTGCTGAACACCATCAACGCACATCAGCGGGCCCACCCGGATGGAGTCCACATTATTGCAGGAGACTTTAATAAGGCCAACTTGAAAGCTGTACTCCCGAAATTTTATCAACATGTAAAGTGTTCTACTAGGGGAGAGAACACTTTGGATCATGTTTATTCCAACATTAAGCACGCATACCGAGCCATGCCCCTCCCCCACCTCGGCCAGTCAGACCACCTTTCCCTCCTGCTCTCCCCAGCCTACACCCCCCTCAGACGCAGTGCCAGGCCCACCACAAAGACTATTACAACCTGGCGTGATAACGCACTCTCCAAACTACAGGACTGCTTCACTGAGACAGACTGGGACCTATTTGAACACCAGGAGCTGGAAACGTTCACACGAACGGTACTGGACTACGTCAAGTTCTGTATAAGTAATGTGACTGTGGACAAAAAAATTAGTGTTTTTCCAAACCAGAAACCCTGGGTGACCAGCCAGGTCCACACACTCCTCAGAGCCCGAGATGCTGCCTTCAGGTCAGGGGACAGAGCCCTTTATAGGACTGCTCGAGCTGATCTGAAAAGAGGAGTGAAAAAAGCCAAGGCGAAACATAAGAGGAGGATAGAGTCTCATCTGTCCAGCAACAACACACGGGCGGTGTGGCAGGGCATACATGACATCACAAACTACAGAGGCTGCGCTACAACAACAGGAGACCTGAGTGTGCCGCTGGCAGAGGAGCTAAACTGCTTCTTTTGTCGCTTTGAAACATCACAACAGCAACACTCATCAGCCTCTGCCCTGCCCCCACTCCCACCCAGTTCCTGTACCACTACACTCACTGCTCGCGAGCATGAAGTCAGACGGGTGCTCCGAACAGTGAACCCCAAGAAGGCTGCTGGCTCAGATGGAGTTCCGGGTAAGGTGATCAGAGCGTGTGCCCACCAGCTCACCTTCATCTTCACCAGAATCTTCAATCTCTCCCTGGCCCAAGCAGCTATCCCGCCCTGTCTGAAATCCGCCACAATCATCCCGGTACCAAAGAAGTCTCCCATCACCAGCCTAAATGATTATCGTCCTGTGGCCCTCACTCCGGTAATCATTAAGTGCTTCGAGAGACTGGTCCTCCAGCACATCAAGGACTATCTCCTGCCGGACCTGGACTCCTACCAGTTTGCATATCGTGCAAACAGATCCACTGAGGACGCCATCGCCGTAGCTCTCCACTCTGTGCTGTCCCACCTGGAGCAGCAGCAGAGCTATGTCCGCATGCTCTTTGTGGACTACAGCTCGGCATTCAACACAATCATTCCGAACATTCTCATCGACAAACTGGACACTCTTGGCCTCCCCCTCTCACATGTGCCTGGATAAATGACTTCCTCACCGACCGGCCCCAGACTGTGAGACTCGGCCCACACCTCTCCTCCACCTGGACGCTGAGCACCGGCTCCCCACAGGGCTGCGTGCTGAGCCCCCTCCTGTACTGTCTCTACACCTATGACTGCCGTCCGGCCCACAGCAGCAATCTCATCGTGAAATTCACTGACGACACCACAGTGGTCGGACTCATCTCAGGGGGAGATGAGACAGCCTACAGAGAGGAGGTCCTGAAGTTGGCGGCCTGGTGTTCA